TTAATTTTTAAGGAAGATGTTAGAAAAGAAAAATTTATAACGGTGTTTAAGGTCTAACATTTTAATCGACTACATTCTAAGTCAGCATTTTTTCAAAAAATTTTTAATGAACCTACTGAGAATTATAAGCACAAAGTGCAAGTTATCAACTTGTAAAACAGTCAATTGTTCTACCGAAACAAAATAAATTCAACAAAACAAAATTTTGTCTATCTTAAAACTATTTTTTATTTAATTAATTTTTTTTAGGGAAGTTAAAAGATCCGCAACAATTAACTATATTGCTGCGGATCTAATAACTCAAATAAATATACTTTAAACCAGCTCTTATTAAATTGTTTCAATGAACCGTATGAGAATTAAAACAATCAAATTATTTACTTTAAATTAGTTTCCTGAACTGTTTATGGTTATAATATATGTGACATAGAAAAGCACTAACACATCTGTACGCTTTGTATTACAGACCTAATACATGCATAACAAAGTTTGTATATATAATTCTCCATCAGTTGACAAAAAATTTTATTATAAACATAAAGGCAGTATATGATCAGTTGAGATATTAAGAGTACAACAGGGCTCAGCTGTAGTACTCCTAATATCTTCATAATAAATGCTTAAAATTAAAAATTGCTTATAGATGATGATAAATTACACTAATGGATTTATTTTTCATTTAGTCTATAAAAAAAATTTTATTTGAAAATATTTAAGAACGTAGTTAGTTTGGAAGTTGGAAGTTTTACAATGACTGAAAAACATTTTTTCGCTTCTGAAAGAATAAACAGTATTATAGTTAATATTTAGCTTTATAGTAATGTCAGCCTACTTACAAACAAAAAAAGATTTTCGGATATAACTAACTCTGAATTGTGTGTAGCTCAATGTTTAACGAATAAGATAAATACCGAACACTTTCTGCCCAAAACAACGCATTTGAATGTGCTTACTTTTGGAGAGGTTTCCAAAAGTAGTGAACTACAAAAACAATAATTTCTTTTATAATATTAAATATTTTATAATATTTAATTAAATTTTTGGCTGATCATACAGCTGTTTCGAGTATTGCCAAATACTTATAGTCAGTAAGTGGTCTTGGAACTACCATATTTTGTGTTTGAAATTATACGCAAGTATCAAGAATTGAACTCTTGCGCTGCCAAATTTGAGGCTCAGAGTCAGCGTTTTTTAACCAACTATTATTAAATATTATTGTCACCTCCGTCATAAGTGACGTTAAATGATAACTTGTATTAAAAACACGGTTGCCACTTGAAAATTTTTTCCTGTACCAAAATTGGTTTAAAAAGGTACCATTTCTGTAAAAAAAGGTCCAAAATTTTTTTGGACCTTTTTGTTTTCTCGTTCTGTGTTTTTTATAGTGTTATAAATGAACAAAATATAAAATAGTGCAAAGTTGCATTTATAAAAAAAATTATTTGGAAATATCCACAATAAAATTGGGTCGTCAAAAATGTACCAGTTTTTGAAAATGAGTACCAAACGAAAAAAAAAAAAAGTACCAATTTTGGTACTAAAGTACCATAAGTGGCAACCGTGATTCACACTAGGTCTGTTCCACGAGCTACACATAGTAACTTTGAGTAACACTGTGTATACACAAGTGCGTTCCACGAACAAATTTGTGAGTAAATGAGAGCATCTGAGAGAGCGTAACATCCCTGTCGAAATTTGAAAATGTTACACAGACTTTACTCATGCATTTTATATGAAGTAAAATTTGTGTTTATGTGTAAATCAGCTGTTATGGTTTGAATTCAAATTTTTGTATTGTTTGTTTGCGCGGCATATGTGAATATTAAAAAATTCTGTATTTTTAATTGTAACAACTGTAATAAATAAATATTGAAATGGATAAAAACATAATAAATATTTTATTAAGTGATTTAAGTAACACAACACAACCAGAATATAGAATTGGTGTATTCGATATTACATAAAAAAAAAAGAAAACGTGTGTGTATAAAAAATTATATACAAGATGTTGTTTGCAAATATGACGACAAGGAATTCAAAACTCATTTCCGCATTTCGCGGAGCCTTTTTAATTCTTTGGCTATAAAATTTCAAAATAGTACCGACTTTATTGCACTGCGAGTAAGTGAGCTGAACATTTCTTCAGAAGCTCACGTTGCTGTTTTTTTATGGTTTGCTGGTCACGAAGCATGTTGTTTTAGAGATTTATCAGATCGCTTTAATCTCTCTTTATCGTCAGTAAACCGAGTTATAAGAAGGATGATAACTTTCTTTAGCAACATGTGTCCGGATATAGTTGCATGGCCTAGCACATCAAAAAAGGAAGAAGCAAGTACATTTTTCCGAAGCTTATGCAATTTTCCATAAGTTATAGGTAAGGATTTATGTGCATATTAACGCTGCATATATATTAATACATGTTACTTTGCAGGTTGCCTAGATGCCACTCGTATAACTATTGATCCTCCTGGAGATCGTAAGGACGACTACATTGACAGAAAAGGAAATATTTCATTATGCTTGCAAGCCATCTGTGATGAAAACAGAAAATTTATTAGCATATTTTTCGGACATCCAGGCTCCTGTCATGACAGTTGGGTTTTACAAAACTCTCCTATTTATATGCGACTACCATCGAAGTGTGGAGGTAAGTTCTTTGGAAAAAGAAATGAGATTTATTAAAACCTCTTACGTTTACTGAATACTATCTACTGGCTGATTCCGCATTCCCCTGTACACAACACATCATTACGCCATATAAAGACAACGGGCGTCTTACTCGTGCACAAAAGAATTTCAATAGAAAATTGGGGTCAGGTGAAATACTAATAGAAAATGCATTTGGTATTTTAAAACAACGTATTAGACAGCTGTACTACTGTAAATTTAAAGGAGTTGAAAAACCGTGTCACTTTATAAGAGCATGTTGCTCTTATACTTGGATTAAAGTGTTTATTTGTATATTGCTTATTTTTCATTAATTAATTTTATTAATATTGCAATAAAGAACTTAATTCTAATTAATATATTAACATCACATTTTATAAATATATACTTAATTCTATCTTAGCTTTAAAATTACATTATTTAAATAAATTTTTAATTCTAACTAAACTAAAGACTATAATATTAAAAGTAAATATGTTTTTAACATAATGTGTCCTAATAATAATAATATGTAATATATTAAAATAAGTTTAAAAATAAATTAATAAAATATATTAATTATTTTATTATTAATGTGTTTGTCTGTTATTTTTCAATTTCTATTTCTACTGTTTTGTTTTTCAAAAAACAGCCGTTTTCACCAGACTTTACACAAAGCTGTTCCATGAAAATTTGTGTAAAGAGCGTAATCTGGCACTTTATTTGTGTTACGCTCTCAGTTTGTACTTTACTTCTGTTTTACTCATGGTTTACTATGTGTAGCTCGTGGAACAGACCTACTATCACATTAGACACTTGCTCATTTATACAAATTAGGGTCGTGTGCGAGTTAGGCTAAGTTGCGTTCTAAATGAGGGAAATACTAAGTTGTGCCGATAATGTAGTGATGTGTCGATACGTGTTGATAAATGGCTAAATGCTTGCAGTGCAAAAAATCCCAAAAAATCTCCCATTTGGTTTAGCATCAACTTAGCCTAACTCGCACACGTCCTAGGTAGCGCTCACTTTATAGTGAGCTCATTTATGCAGCTGATGGAACTTTTGTATGTTAAAAAGTTATTAATGAATTTTCTTTTGTTTACAATTGACAAATTATGCAAAATAAATCTTTTAAAATTGAAAACGCGGAATATTATAAATCAAATATGTTTAAAATAGTGAACAATAGGATTAAGGTAATATATCATAACAAAAAATATCGCGTAATGCACCAAAAGAAATGTTATTTTAAACAAACAAAAAGCAAATAACAATACTCTTCTCAATAAATGCTAGCAATCAGTAAAAGTACTGAACTTTGGTTAGTAAGGCTAGAAATCATCATTTAATAAATTCACATTTCTTCTTTCAAAAGAGAACAAAGAAATTTTGAAATGAAAAAAATTATGCAGTAAAAAAAAGTTTGGTACGCACTCTGAAAAAACAGCAGTTAGTTTCAGAACGATAATAACCAAAAGAAGTTTCATTATTAGGTCCTAGTATGGCAAAAATTGCACGCTGGGCTATATTCGCTAAGCGCCATTATTGCTATCTATCAAGTGTTATGTTTTGGCAAATAGCAAATCTTGCATATGTGCACATATTGCAAGCAAATTACATTTTGTATTAAATTAAATAATTAAAATAAATTGAAAATTAGGATGAATACATATGAAATTTATATGAAATTTTTGAATATTTGATTACATATGATTGCAATATTCGTTGGAGTTTTCAATGAAATTTTTTTTTTTGCTTCTCTTCATTTTTGTCTGAAAATAATATTTGATTTAATTAAACGTAAAATCAATTATTTAAAAATCTATTGCAACTTTATTAAATACTAGTGCGTACTTCTTTTAGCCATTGACTTGAATCGATATAAACAAACTTCACTTAATAATAATATATCATACTAAAAAATTTTATATATAATTGATATACTAAATCATTTATATACATTTTATATCACTTACATATTCAATTAAAAAAAACAAAGATTTTATTGAATACTTAGTTTTTCAGTGCGTCCGTGTGCAAAATCGAGTAAATTGATGATGAATTGAGGGAAATAGTAAATTATGTCAGTATGGCAACGAATGTTGGTATTTACCAGAATTTAGAGTAGAGTAAATTAGGTAATAATTTGGTAAAATAGGTGTTACCATTGTGAAATTTTATAAGATGTTTAATAAATAAATTTGAAAACTTTTAGCAGAAAAATAATTACTTTTTATATGTTTCTTTTTTTATATTATGAATATTTATGTTTTTAATTAATTGTATCACATTTATTTAATAATAAATACAAATATTTAGCACAAAATCATTAGTTAATTGATTTCAAAAAGCTAATTGTGACTCTTTATGCTATTGACCTGGCAACGTTATTTGTTTTGTACATTTTTGACACATTTAAATTTTATTAATAACAAAAGTAATATCCAAGAGCGATGTCGCTAAAACGGAAATATAATGAAAGATGTAAGTATTTTATTTATTCATTACAGATTTAACAATACGTTTATAAAATACTTTAAATTTATTTAAAGGGAGCAAAGAGATGGTGGATGCATTCATTGCAGTGCGCATACAGCTGGATGATATGTTCACTCAGAAGCGAATAAAGCCCCGAAAATGCTGGGAGTAAGTAGTTAAAATGATCGCTAAATAAATGTTTATAACAAAATATTTATTTTAAAGGCTAGTTGGTGAGCAATGCGGTGCAAATGACCACTGGAGTGGACTCAAGCAGCGTTGGAATAATTTAATAAAGAAATATAAAGTAAATTAACAACCTTTTAAATCTATTAGAATAATGTTTGATTTTTTTAGCGTCTCAAAAATTCACCGACGGAGAATGGCAATGATGGCGCTGACAACCCAATAAGTTGGCCATTTTATGATCAACTTCATGAATATTACAGTCAACGACATAATATTAATCCGCTGCTGATAATAAACAGCGAAGAGCGCAGTCCAGACCCAATTGCCCCGGATCTAGCATCCACATCAGGAATCACATGGCAAACACGTTCCAAGCATTCAAGAACTTCATCCAACCGGGGCACAAGTCATCAGGCGTTCTTGGATTCGGCAATGCGAACGGAGAAGGAGCTGAGGAGGGCGGCACGAGCCCTTACTCTGTATATTTCACTTAAAAACACACAAAAAAAAGAGGCTTTAAAGCATAAATTCAAGTGCAAGGAATGCAATGCCATGTATGCGACAGAGGAAGAACTTAAAAATCATTTTGATGTTGGTTTTCATATAGGTAAGATATAGGTCATATATTTTAAACTACAGCTTTATTTGGAAACACAAGTTCAACGAATTGAAAGTTAATCTTTTTGAGCTTGCCTATTTTTGTTTTAAAGCTATTCTTTTTGTAGAGACATCTGCTATGCATATTTTTTAACTTACTATATGTAAGTAAGATTAACTTTCAATTCGTTAAACTTGTGTTTCCAAATGAAGCTGTAGTTTATAAGCTCGTTATAATTTAAAGCACGGCAAGTGCTTTGGTTGGTGTCACTAATTAAATAAAAATAAGTGACAAAACCTGGAATTTGAGCATTGAAAGTTTGTGCAGCCTTGGCTATTGGTGGATAAACACGATTAGTCATCGCTTCTAATTTGACAGGCACGAGTTCTAAGCCTGGCACTTGCAGTCCAAACAAATTATATACGGACTATAAACTAATTAAATAAAATTCGATTATTTCCAAAGACCACTGATGTAGAGTACTTGGCAATACTAGAAACAGCGTTGTATGGTCAGCCAAATTTCAATAAATTAAAAATAAAAAATTTTTGTCTTTGACCTTTCTTTGCTATTCGAATCTGTCTAAATTTTAATATTAATTTCAGATGAATATCCCAGCAGCAGCCTTAAAGAAGTAATCACGGAGAAAATATTATCAGAAAATGAAGTGCCCAATTCAATAGAAAATAAAAGTATAAAGATGGAACCGAATGTAACAGATGATCAAACATCAATTGAAGATGAAGTTGTTGTAGAACAATGTATAAAAAATGAAATACCTGAAATAAGTACAGAGCAATTGTTATTAGAAAACGAAGTATATACTATTACAATGTTAGAAAATGAGAGTATAAGAATGAGGCCTGACCACATTCCGTTTAAAGATGGCATTACTACACAACAACTTATAAAAGAAGAAACAATTGAAACAAGTACAAACCAATTATGATTAGAAAATGAAGAGAACTCTAGACTTGAAAAAATTAATCTAAAAATCGAACCAAATTTTACTATTCGTGAACCTCCACTTGATGGTATCACTGATAACCAATAATTTATAGAAACTGAATTATTTGAAACAAGCATAGAGCAATTGTTATTTACTAATTTCATTACCGAAAATGAAAGTGTTAAAATAAATGCGGAAGCAGCTATTCATTAAGTTTATTTAAAATCTGAAATCTGAAACCGTATTATATGTTAAAATCCTTTACAGACTCTGTAACTGTAGCAACTGTGTCTACACATCAAATTTATATAGGTAAACTTATGAGTATTAAAAATGTAGAACCTGTAGATAGTATAAAATTATGAATGAGATCCAATTTTCAAAAAAAGGAAAGTTGAAATATTTGGAAAATATTTGAATAACCAGAAGCAACTTAATATATGTTATCTACATGTGCTGTCTTATGTTTAATAATTTCTTGATTTTTAACTTATTGTGATTTCTACTTCGGTTACTTTTTCTGTAAAGTAGAGAATAAATTATTGCAAATTTCAACTTGTAAACAAATTGTTCTATAACTTGTTCGAGATGACTCGAACTAGTAATGGGAATTTCATTTATTTATTGATATAGGATAGATATGTTAAGATATACATAAGTCATTAAATAAAATTGTGAGTTTATAAATTTGATAAAAATAATAAATAGTAACTATTTCTTTAGTTATATAATCAAAACAATTCTTTAATAAATATATATCACACCTAGAAGAAGTAAACTTCGTCCTAGAAGTGAGGAAAATGCTGTGTTTTTAAATTATTTTAGTTCGTTTGTAACTTAGTATTCTTATCGTATAATCCAAGTTTTTTAAATGGAGTTTTCTATCGTTTTTTTTTTTTTTTTGTGAATAATGTATAATAGTACTAATATTTAAACTAAAACCTTTTAAAGTTAATTAATAGGATGTGTTAGCAATGAAGTGCCTTGAATTATTTTGGAGTATCTTAGAAAACGTATTCTATACCAAACAAGTAGGTACATTTTTTTTTGTGTAAGTATATAATAGTGTTCGTTTAATTACGATTACAGGTTCACTTTTCAGCAACAATACCTTAGTACCTGAGTAAATGCTCCTACTTGTTGTTAGGTATTATGCAACTAGTTTCTGTTATGAATAGCACCAAATTTGTTTAGGACATCAAATAGTGCAGTCTCCCGTGTTGTTATATTGTATATAATGAAATTGACGAGACTCAAAAGAAGTTTTATGTATTCTGCAAACTTTCAAGAGTCATGGTTTAATAGACTACATGTATGTTAAAAGCAAATTCGTAGGTAGTTTAATATGTTTAGTAGTATAATGCTTTATACACATACTAAGGTGGAGCAGATGCTGATCTGTCCGCTATAAAAAGGGATTTCTCTTCATTAATATTCAAATGTTCACTAAAATTCGGCTTTTTTTTTCATCAGGTAACTGCGAAATTGATATAGAAGTAGTAATTGGGGAAGACATCCTAGATAATGTTGATAATACTTTCGAATATCAATGCTGTTATACTAATTAATTTGATACAAGAACCTGTATTTAATGATTTCAATGTGCTATTTCAAGACTTCACTATGTGGAAAGGTTGCAAATTAGATAGTTTATTGGCTACTTTACTCACCATAACATATAAAAGTAAAATGAAATCCTTACAGTTTATAGCGCGAGTGAGTTACATTCTCATACATTTTACATATTATATCATATCTTTGTTTATATTATATAGAGACATACATATTTTCATAAATATCATATTAATGTGAATATGTATGTTGATATAACGAATAAGCTGTCTGTTACAGCGTTATTACTAAATATAGGATAATATAGGATAATTAGATTAAGTTATTTAGTGCTACAAAGTTAAATATTAGGATTAGGTGAATTTCTGATAAAACTTACTAAAAAATGTAGCTAAACATCGTCTTATTTCTTCTGCTTTTAGATCGCCGTCATTTAATAATGAAACTTCTTTTGGTTGTTGTCGTTCTGAAACCAGCTGTTGTTTTTTCAGAGCACGTACCCAACTTTTTTCCACTACATCATTTTTTTCATTTAAAAAGTTGTGAAGAACACAGCAGAATCGTATAATGCTGTTCACGTTTTCGATTTTGTTGTCAATACCCTTCCCTATTCTGCGAAACCTTTAAGTTGCCCAAAAGCATTTTCAACCAGTCTTCGACATTTCGATAATTGGTAGTAAAAACTTTTTTGACCAATGCTAGCGTTTTCGTCATAAGGGTATGGTTTCACAACTTTGGTGGAAAATCTAAATGCAGAATCACCGAGGATCAAGACGGTTATTTTGACACCATTAATCACCCTATTCTTGTCTTCTAGAGCAATACAATTTTCTAACTGCCTCTTAAGTGATGAATTTTCAAAAAAGAAAAAGTCATTGACTCTTCCAGGATACCCAACATTTATATAAAGAAAACGGTATCTGTAAATAAGTAGTAAAATATATTTGCGCGTTTATTGAAATTTTGTTTTTATTAAGTCTGGTTAAAAAGAGAAAATGAATATTAGAAGGGCAATGGTAAGCATTTTCATCTTATATATTTAAATTAATTTATTTATTTATGTATTTGAATTTATTAGGTAATGAAATGCTCATTTGATTTTAATGGATAACTAGAATTTTGCATCATATTTCCAGTGAACTTTCACATTTATTTAACAAACGAGGATTAACAGTAAGCATATTTTCAAGAACTGTACGACATGAATTTTCTTACTCCTACTAATACGTTTTGCAACTAGAATAATAATCTCTGGATCAAGTATAACAAGAGAAGGGAAGCTGAGCTAAGTGTGAAGGACTACGCCAATAGCGAATCCCACAATAAAAAATTGTAATAAATTAATCTTCCGAAACTTTATCTGTAAAGTCAGCAACTAAACTTTTATTTGAATATTATATATTACGTTTTCTATCTTTTAATGTTTTCGATACGATTTTTATATTCTCATTTTTTCTCATTTCATTTTTTAAATGACAATTTTATTTACAGTCCCATCTTTAGACGCTTGTTACTTAATGTAGATAGTCTCCATTTTCTAATAATAATTGGTTTGTTGATGTTTCAGTTATTTCTTCTTTTATAGGTTCCTGCGCAGCAAGGTCCTTTTTGAAGGAAATATGATCCTGTCTGATTTTTATATTCTCATTTTCTACCGTTACAATAGTATACATTTCGTTTTCTAATAATAATTGCTCTGCACCTGTTTCAGATATTTCTTCTTTTATAAATTGTTGTATAACAACACCATCATCGATAATTTGTTCATCAGTAACTTTCGGCTCTATCTTAATATGTTCACTTTCAAATGTATTGCATACTTCATTATTTAATAATAATTTATCTATGTGTGATTCATTTCCTTCATATTTTATGTCATTTTGTTCATCAACAAAAACTTCCAACAATGTTTCTTCTTCATATTTTGCTGATAAGTTAATACTGTCATCCGATGGAGTAACGTTTTCAATTTGATTTTCGTTGTAGTCATCAATTTTGTAAATTTTTGATAGGAATGAGTTGGAAATATTAACTTTTAATTTTTGGGCACTGCAAAAAGTCTGCTGATGTTCTTTATGCATTTCAAGAATGTGAGAGTTCAAGGCATTATCTGAATCGAATTCTTTGTAACACACCATACAGTGAATTTGTCTTTTTTCAATATCTCGGAATCTACTGTTAGAATATTTATCTGAAATACATATAAAAAAAATTTATCTTCATATTAAAAAGTATTTTTATTTTTTTTATTTTTTATAGTTTGTATTGAAAAAAATTATATAATATAATTATTTAAAAAAATTATAAGAATATGTATTTAACCAATACGGGAATATTTCAATATATATAATGCACTTAAAGTTATAAAATCCAGTTTAAGTTCAAATTTTTACCTGTGTCATTACAATTATAACAAAAAAAATTAAAATTATAAAATCAATATTAACTAATAACTTTCGTATAACAATTATTCCCAACAAATATTTATATTTAAATTTTTTTTCGAGACAAATGTGTATTTTTATTTATCCTTGCAAAAAAAAGTCATATATGTATAATATTTTTAATCTCTTCATAATAGCGGTATCCAAACATATTCGAACAATAGATCCGGCCTAATGTCTTGATAATTCGTTAACCCGGTAAAGTCGTAATTTCAAAAAAACAAAAAAATGCAATCTTTTCATTTTACCGAGTTACCTATCACTTCCTTAATAAACATAATAAAAATAAAGTTTATTTAATAAATATATTCAAAAAACTCTCAATGCCACTAACTTAAACAGTATTATGAGTTTTTTATCACTACTGTTGACAATCACACCTATTTTACAATATAAAAAGAGTGTTAATTGTTTATAACTAATCCTACAATAATTGTCATGAGAACGAAAAAATGTTGATCGTATAATACTAATTTCGCAAAAAAAAAATATATTTGCTAGAAATAATATTGTTGAACACATTTAAATAAATATATTTTGTCTTAAAGTAATAATTTTTTAAGACAAAATAAACATATGCATATATTTCAAATAATGAAACTTAAAATGAATTTCAGTTTTAGTTATTTTTTAAGTATGTAATTTATTGTAGTCTATTTCCTAATAAAATTGACTATACATAGATATTTTTGGATCTTTGAGTTTATTAATTAATTTCAACATTTTTTTTAGTATTATATCTAAGTATATAAACAATAGAAAAATTTTTTATTATCTTTGTATTAAATGTTGTTACAAAATATTTATGAAATCTATAACTCCAGCAATTATTCTGATCAAAGAAAACGTTATAAGATCGTTGTGAGCAAACCATGCAAATAAAATATGCCATTGATAATGAATTCAAGTAATATATTAGTTTTAAAATAAAAAATTATTTCCAACATTCAGTAATTAAAATACTAAGTATTTATTTATATATTATAATAGTTAAACACATATGTTAAAAATAACTTACGTATATGAAGTGCTGTGTCGTCATGAATTTTAAGCTCTTCCTCTGTTGCAGAATTCACATTACATTTTTTGCATTCGAAATTATACTCTTGGGTTTCATTTTTATCTTTGCTTTCAGATGATTGAATCCTCATATGTTGCTTAAGTCTGCAAAATTAAAATACTTTCAATATCTATTTCGAAAATTAAATAAAATTATTTACTTCTTATTGGATTTCAATTTTTTTTGACATTGATCATAGCTAAATGGACGTGTATGAAGTAGACCACAATCATTACAAGCGTCTGGCTTATCATTGGTATGTCGCCTCATATGCAGATTGAGTGACTTCTTACCACCAAAACTTTTAGAACACTATAGAAAATCTTATTGTATTTAAGATTAAATCTAAATTACTTAAAAATACACTTATATACCATAGTGCATTTGTAAGGCTTATCAATAGTATGTCCCTTCTTATGATCTTTAAATATCTGTTTCGTAGTAAAACTTTGATTACACTAAAAATGTTATAATTGTGTTACTAAATTTAAATAGAAAATTATTACAATATTTACTTCAGTGCATGAATATGGTTTTTTAGCAGTATGTCGCTTCATATGACGTTTAAGTGCTTGATTAACAGCAAAACCTTTATCACACTATAAAGAATTCATACTTATTATATAGAATCTTTTATAAAAAAAAATAATATATCTATGTACTTCACAGCATTTGTAGGGCTTCTCTCCAGTATGACGTCTCATATGAATATCGAGCCTTTCCTTACGAGTAAAACGTTGTTTGCACTATTAAAAATAAATTCTTATTATACAATAATTAATCTTAAATTAAAAATTGTAACTAAAATATTTACTTCAGTACATGCGTAAGGTTTTTCACCCGTATGTCGCATCATATGAATATTAAGTCCTTGCTTACTAACAAAGTATTGTTTACACTATAAATATGTATAATTATTATAATTAACATCCAATGAAAATAATTGTATTGTATACTTCAGTGCACGAATAGGACTTCTCATTTGTATGCCGCTTCATATGATAATACAGAGACTCATTAGCAGTAAAACATTGATTGCACTATAAATATGTATGCTTATTTTGTAATTTTAAATTAATATAATTGTAATATGTATTTACTTCAGAGCATGTGTAGGGCTTTTCACCAGTATGTCGCCTCATATGCCGCTTGAGCGCTTGCTTAACAGTAAAACTTTTATCACACTATAGAAAATGCACAATTATTTAATAAAATATGGAACTGATATAATCGAAATATATACTTCAGAGCATGTATAGGGTTTTTCACCAGTATGACGTCTCATATGAATATTAAGCCCTTCCTTACGAGCAAAACATTGTTTGCACTAATCAAAATGTATACTTATTTTATTAACTCTTATATGAAAATAATTGTAATATTTACTTCAGTGCACTTGTAAGGTTTTTTACCCGTATGTCCCATAATATGTAGGTTGAGTGTACTCTTAATAGAGAAACTTTTGTTACACTATAATGAAAACATAACATACTTATTATTGTTTAACGAAAATATGTAATTTAAATATTTACTTCAGTGCATGTGTATGGGGTTTCACCAGTATGTCGTCTCATATGAAGATTAAGTACTTGCTTAACCGCAAAACTTTTATTACACTATAAAATATATATTTGTACGTTTTATGTTTAATTTTAAATAAACAAAATGGATATATTTACTTCAGTGCACATGTGCGGTTTTTCGCCAGTATGTCGCCTCATATGATTATCAAGTCCTTTTTTAACAGCAAAACTTTTATCACACTATATAAAGTACATATGTATGTATTTATTATGTTTATGCTTTAATTGAAAATAATTGAAATGTATACTTCAGTGCAGGTGTATGGCTTTTCACCAGTATGGGAACGGCGATGACATTGCAGTGCACTTAAATAGGAAAATTTCTTTTCGCAAAATTCACAAGCTAATTGACGCTTTTCCGTAGGTATACTTTTATAAACAAAATAAATATTTGTTAAATTATATAATACATACTAATTATATTTTAGAAATAAAATAACTTACTTTAAAACCGATAATTCATTGTCTGTTACTGTTGCTTTGATTACTTTTTTTGCCAATTGTTGTACAGCAACGCCACCTTCAAATGTAGTTTGGACGTTTGTAATGACGTCAGCCACACTCCCGTCAATAATATTTTCCGGCTCTGTTTCTATAGTTTCATTTTTTATCGTTATATCAGTGCAGATATCATTTTCTAATAATTGCTCTGCAGTTCTTTCATCTTCTTTAACTTCCATGCGTCTTCTTACTATAAAATCATTTTCTATAGATGTTTGTTCTTCATACTTGATTGGTAACATACCATTATTATGAGCTGTAGCAATGTTTTCAATAAAATAGAATCATTTTTTTGTTAAATTAATAATAAAGTAATTCTATGCTAGTGAAAAATTCTTACTTTTTAATTCTGGTCAAAATACTTATTTTATATTGTCTTAATTTAATTTAAGTATGTGTACTTGAGGTTTGTAATAAAATCAAACTTTTATGTTATAAATGCTCATTTACAAAAAAATTCACATAAGACAAATTAATTATTTATCATTTATCTTGCATTAATTGCTTGTAGTACAAAACATTTAATTTGATATTCACAACATATTTAATATATATATAAATACGAATGGTAAAAGAAAGATTGCGGCAAGAGGTTTGCAAATTTCGAGCAAAAATTGTTTGACAGTTTTTTTGCAATGTATTATCTGTATTATCTGTATTATATTATATTGTCAGGAGGATGGAATTGATATAATAATGCCACTCCTTAGATGCGTATAACATCTAATTACAAATACTTACTTCCACCGTTTGTAGGAAATAATATAATTATATATATGTATATGTATAAAAGGGAATTATTTTTTATACAAAAGTGTTTAAAATTATTGATCAATATTCAAAACAGTCCCAAATACTTCTATATGTATATAAATACGCAATTCTAAACTATATAAAAATATTGACCAATTATTTGAAATAGTATTCTTATAAAAAATAATAAGAGTCGATGATAGCCATCGATTTTATAATTGCAATTAATAAATATTAAATTACAATGTAAAAATCTTTTATTATTCCATGCAAAATGTAGTCTTAAAAACATTTCACACATCGTTCGCAATTTTATTAAAAAATTTACACCATATATACCATATATACTATAAGTTTATAGTCTATAAATTTAATTATTAGGTAAGAACCCAGGTTTTTAGGAGGATTACTAACTTCTTACATCAAACAGTGAAATATTGAAATTTTATATTTATAAAAAGTAACTCACGTATATGAAATCCACTGTAATGATGAGTTTTAAGTTCTTCCTCTGTAGCATACATCGCCTTGAATTCTTTGCATTTGAATTTGTTCTCTTCGAGCTCATTTTCACATTTGCTTTTATATGAATGAATCCTAATATGCTGCCCAAATCTGTAAAATAAAGATAATAGTAATTAAAATAATTTTTTAAATGTGAACATTACTTACTCCATATTGGATAGGAATTCTTTGCTGCGCTTAAGTAGAGCTTAAAAGTTGTTTAAAGGCTCTAATTGAATTTAAATTAACGTAAACCGATTTCCTTTTTAAATTACTACGAGTACTAAAGTCGTTTTAAAACATAACAAAAGAATTTAAAATAAGCTATAAACTTTTAATGTCAGCTTACAACTCATAGTAAACTTAAAAGAACTATTTATTTTTCGGTGTTAGTGCTTCTAAGTTTAATTTTATATTCTGTTTTGAAATAAATTTTAAGATTACATTTAATATAGCAGTTGCTTGCATCCCAAAAAAACTTTAATTATAGACTTCTTTCAAATAGAGTAATCACAAACTGTAATTGGATTTGTAATTATGATTTTGTATATTGATATACAAATAAGATTATAAATTCTATAATTTATTTCAACAAAATCTGTATATATTGCTGATAACCAAAATAAATTCCAAAGCCTTTCATATGGTCTAGCTAATAATTGTCATTTTTTAAAATATGTCAAAGAAGACAATTGTAAAAGGAATTTAAAATCGCCCTCCACACCAGGGTTGCAATTTGTACAATTCTATTAGGTCATAAACAGAAGCTAATTATTTAATTTGTGGATCCGAACGTTATGAAAATGATATGAATTTTTTATTTTTTATTATTATTATTTGTGTTATTAAATAAAGTTTTATATAGTTATTGTCTATATAAATTCAAACACCATTTCGAAGTACACATTTACTTAGATATAATTAAAAATAAAATGTATTTATATATATAATAATATCAGGTACTTGGTGCTATTAAGTTGCGCTGCCCTAGTCATATATCAGTTAATCTTTTGTTGTAGACTTTTTTCTTTTACTGTCATATTTTTAATTACAAGTAAATTCTAAGTAAAAGTTGATAATCGCCGTTTGTATCATTTAATCATTTAACAATTTTGTAAAAAGCGGTAAATTTTTGTTTCAGCAGGACAACGGCTCTAAGCATATAGCAGCGATCCTACGGGATTGATTGCTGTACCATGCTCCCCCTTCCCCCCAGGCAACTTCAAACACTACCACAATCACAAGACCTTAATCCCATAGAACATCTGTGGGATTATTTGGGAAATAAGATTCGCAAGCACAATCTTCCGTCATTGGTTAAAAAAAACGCACAGGATACACAGGCAAAGTTGTTTGAGCCATGCAAATACAATTAAAAGAAATTATTAAACGCAGAGGTTATCCCACAGGATATTATTTGTTTTAATTTAAATATTAAAAAGTATTTATTTATTCTTTTTTATTTACATTTATTCTTTTTAAAGAATAAATGTTAAATTTTTATGTTGCAACTTCATTGTTGTTTTTTTGGTTAAAATAAAAAAAACAAAAATCAATTTGAGTATATATTAATAAAGTTATGTCAAATTCAAAAAAAATTTTGTGAGTGGACGCAGACTTTTCATACAATCTCTATATAATATGCGAAAGGTATGAAGACGTAACTCACGTGAGCTGTAAACTGTAAGGATTTCATTTTATTTTAATGTTATGGTGAGTAAAGTAGCCAATAAACTATCTAATTTGCAACCTTTCCACATAGAGAAGTCTTGAAATAGCACATTGAAATCATTAAATACGGGTTCTTGTATCAAATTAATTAGTATAACAGCATTGATATTCGAAAGTATTATCAACATTATCTAGGATGTCTTCCCCAATTACTACTTCTATATCAATTTCGCAGTTACCTGATTAAAAAAAAGCCGAATTTTAGTGAACATTTGAATATTAATGAAGAGAAATCCCTTTTTATAGCGAACAGATCAGCATCTGCTCCACCTTAGTATGTGTATAAAGCATTATACTACTAAACATATTAAACTACCTACGAATTTGCTTTTAACATACATGTAGTCTATTAAACCATGACTCTTGAAAGTTTGCAGAATACATAAAACTTCTTTTGAGTCTCGTCAATTTCATTATATACAATATAACAACACGGGAGACTGCACTATTTGATGTCCTAAACAAATTTGGTGCAATTCATAACAGAAACTAGTTGCATAATACCTAACAACAAGTAGGAGCATTTACTCAGGTACTAAGGTATTGTTGCTGAAAAGTGAACCTGTAATCGTAATTAAACGAACACTATTATATACTTACACAAAAAAAAATGTACCTACTTGTATGGTATACGACACGTTTTCTAAAATATTGCAAAATACATCAAGCCACTTCATTGCTAACACGAAAGTTTTTATCGTCATAATGCTCAAAAATATTCAAATGATTCTAAATTGCTTTGCTCCGTCAGAATATAAAAACTCAAAATAAAATGTAATTATCCGAATAATTTTGACATCCTATTAATTAACTTAAAAAGATTTTATTTTAAATGTTAGTACTATTATACATTATTCACAAAAAAAAAACGATAGAAAACTCCATTTAAAAAACTTGGATTATACGATAAGAATACTAAGTTACAAACGAACTAAAATAATTTAAAAACACAGCATTTTCCTTACTTCTAGGACGAAGTTTACTTCTTCTAGGTGTGATATATATTTATTAAAAAATTGTTTTGATTATATAACTAAAGAAATAGTTACTATTTTTAGTTACTATTTATTTTTATCAAATTTATAAACTCACAATTTTATTTTATGACTTATGTATATCTTAACATATCTATCCTATATCAATAAATAAATGAAATTCCCATTACTAGTTCGAGTCATCTCGAACAAGTTATAGAACAATTTGTTTACAAGTTGAAATTTGCAATAATTTATTCTCTACTTTACAGAAAAAGTAACCGAAGTAGAAATCACAATAAATTAAAAATCAAGATTAATTATTAAACATAAGACAGCACATGTAGATAACATATATTAAGTTGCTTCTGGTTATGCAAATATTTTCCAAATATTTCCACTTGCGTTTTTTGAATATTGGATCTCATTCATAATTTTATACAATCTACAGGTTCTACATTTACAATACTCATAAGTTTACCTAAATAAATTTGATGTGTAATCACAGTTGCTACAGTTACAGAGTCAGTAAAGGATTTGAACATATAATACGGTTTCAGATTTCAGATTTTAAATAAACTTAATGAATAGTTGTTGCCGCATTTATTTTAACACTTTCATTTTCGGTAATGAAATTAGTAAAAATTTCGTTTTCTAATGACAATTGCTCTTTTCTTGTTTCAAGTACAGTATGACTTCGTGGGTGTTGCAATAATCGAGGTTCTTGCAATAATCGATTTTAATTCATTAATATCTTGTTATTTCAGTTTGCTTTTTATTGCAATTAATATTCATTATAACTACCTTATGTTTTAGACCTTTAAGTATAATAACTTTTGTAAGAGGTAAGGAATTTTACTCAGCCCATTGTATGCATATGTTAAGTGCATTTATTGCCACGCCATTTTTGATTTTAAGTGTAATTACATGACCTCAGTTTTCGAGTCTGAATCGATGTTAAGTTATTCAGCCAGAGATATAATTTTCATACAAAATTCGTTAACCCACTCATTCATTTCTTGTTGAGATATAACATCTGAAATAATTTCATGATTTCATAATATTCTTATGCACCGAGAATGTGTTCGCAAATTCTTATGGTTGAGTATAGGAGAGCAAATAAATACACAAATAAAATATTAAGAATGCAAAAGAGGAAAATAATTAGAAAAAGTTGCATTCTTCACGGTTGTCAATTTTCAAAGTTGCAATAACAAAGGTAATACAGGAAAAATTCAAGAGGTTCAATAACCGAGGAGTTGCGATATTCGAGGCTTGCATTAATCGAGGTCATACTGTACTTCATTTTTTATAAATTCTTCTTCATCTGTAATATCATCAAGTTTAGGTTCACGAACAGTAAAATTTGGTTCGATTTTTAGATTAATTTTTTCAAGTCTAGAGGTTTCTTCATGTTCTAATAATAATTGGTTTGTACTTGTTTCAATTGCTTCTTCTGTTATACGTTGTTGTTTTGTAACGCAATCTTTAAACGGAATTTGGTCAGGCCTCATTCTTATACTCTCATTTTCTAACATTGTAATAGTATATACTTCGTTTTCTAATAACAATTCCTCTGTACTTATTTCAGGTACTTCATTTTTTATAAATTGCTCAACAACAACTTCATCTTCAATTGATGTTTGATCACCTGTAATATTCGACTCCATCTTTATACTTTTATTTTCTATTGAATTAGGCACTTCATTTTCTGATAATATTTTCTCCGTGATTGCTTCTCTAAGGCTGCTGCTGGGATATTCATCTGAAATTAATATTAAAATGTGCATTATTCACTATAATAATAAATTTTCTTTACATTTTACATAGAGTCATTTAAAAATTATATACTAAATTATTCCATAATGATAATAATAAGAAATATGTTTTGGGGGTACAAATGTCCTTACAAATTATGCAACATTAGTCTTATATAGTATATGAATGAACGTATTTGATTTTAAAATAGTTTTATTTATAGTTAAAAATTATTTAATATTTAATTTAAGATTCTAATCAATAGAAATTTTTTTTTGAGTGTTCATGCGAAATACAGATTTTTACAAATTACAAAAACTTTTTAAAATTTTTAGGACTTTTTTTTTGAAATGTGTAATCTAATAACACCATTACGATCATATACTCTTGCAAGCAACCCACACAAAAAATAAACTATTGTGTTATATGTATATAAAGTCAAAGTAGCAATCTCATTTTTAAATGAACAATTACTGATTTCTTTCATTCACTTCTCAATATACTAAAATATTATATTAAATTTGTTAAAAATATATGGCCTATATCTTACCTATATGAAAACCAACATCAAAATGATTTTTAAGTTCTTCCTCTGTCGCATACATGGCAGTGCACTCCTTGCACTTGAATTTATGCTTCTGGGCCATCTTTTTTTGCGTGTTTTCACATGCATGAATTCCGATATGCTGTTTAAGTCTAGAAATTAAAACTATTATTAAATTTAATCTATATAAATAGAAATATTTACTCTTTATTAGTTTTATGAGATTTTTCACCGGTATGTCGTCTCATATGACAATTGAATGCGTGCTTAACAGTAAAACTTTGGTTACACTATAGAAAATATATATATTTATTATACTAAATCTTAAATGAAAATAATTGCATTATTAACTTGAGTACAAGCGTACGGCTTTGAAATAAAATGTTCCCTCATATGTTGTTCGCGTTTGCTCTTAACCAAGAAAGTTTTATTACACTAGAAAGTATTTATACTTATTATATCCACATTTGTGAAAATAATTTTTATATTTACGTCAGTGCTCTTATAAGGTTCTTCTTCTGTATGCTGCCTCATATGAATATCGAGTGCTTCTTTACGAGGAAAACATTCTACACACTAATAAAATTAAATATATTTATTGTATTTAATTTTAAATAAAAATAATAGAACTGTATACTTCAGTGCATTTGTATGGCTTTTCACCAGTATGACACCTCATATGAACATTAAGTGAGTTCTTAAAAGTAAAACTTTGATCACACTATGAAAAATATACACGTTTTATATTTAATCTCAATAGAAAATAATCGCAAAACTTACTTCAGTGCATGAGTGGAGTTTCTCACCAGTATGTTTAGCCATATGACGATTAAGCGAGCTCGTAGTAGAAAAATTTCGACTACACTATAAGAAATGAATACTTATATTTATTTTTAAACAAAAATAATTCAAATATTTACTTCCTTGCATGAGTAAGGTTTTTCTCCAGTATGTCGTCTCATATGAACATTCAATGCCCCCTTACGAGTAAAACCTTGTTTACACTATTGAAAATATATAATTAGTATTATATGTTATTTCGAAAAAAAAAATAATTGAAATCAAAGTATATACTTCAGTGCATGTGTAAGGTTTCTCACCGGTGTGTCGCATTATATGACAATTGAATGCGTGCTTAAAAGTAAAACTTTGGTTACACTATAGAAAATATATATATTTATTATATTAAATCTTAAATAAAAATAATTGCATTATTAACTTGAGTACAAGCGTACGGTTTTGGACCAAAATGTTCCCTCATATGTTGGTCGCGTTTGCTCTTAACCAAGAAAGTTTTATTACACTGTAATGTATATATACTTATTATATTCATATGTGAAAATAAGTTTTATATTTACTTCAGTGCACTTATAAGGTTCTTCTCCCGTATGTTGCCTCATATGAATATTGAGTCCTTCTTTACGAGGAAAACATTCTTGACACTAATAAAATTATATATATTTATTGTATTTCATTTTAAATAAAAATAATGAAACTATATACTTCAGTGCATTTGTACGGTTTTTCACCAGTATGTAGCCTCATGTGAAGATTAAGCAACTTTTGGGAGGAACAACGTTTCTCACACTATAAATATTATATTATAAAAGTTATCAAAAATTTATCACAAATAACAGAAATATTTACTTCAGTGCATGTAAAAGGTTTTTCACCAGTATGTGTTTTCATATGATATTTAAGTGTTTCCTTACGAGCAAAAGATTGTTTACACTGTTCAAAATATATACTCATTATATATAGAATTTATATATGATAATAATTGCAATATTTACTTCAGTGCATGTGTAAGGTTTTACACCAGTATGTCCTATCATATGACGGTTGAGATATGTTTTAACAGCAAAACTTAATTTACACTAAAATCAATATTTACTTATGTTATATATTATATAAAAATAAGTGAAAATTATACTTCAGGGCATTTGTAAGGCTTTTCACCAGTATGTAACTTCATATGAATGTTAAGTGAGCTCTTCACAGAAAAAGTTTGATTACACTATACAAATATATATATTCTTATTTAGTCTCGTAAAATAAAAATTAAAGCAATATATTACTTCAGTGCATGAGTAAGGTCTTTCTCCAGTGTGAGAGCGGCGATGGATTTTCAACCAATATAGTGAAAAAAAATATTTCCCACAAATATCACACTCACAATGTCTGTCTTTTTTATGTGTAAGTTCATGTTTCCTGCAGAAATTTCAAAACAAATAATCAAAGTTAATATTTTATATATTATATTAAATTTAAATACTTACTTCGAAACAGAATTATTTTTTAATAACGGCTTTGTGGTTGGTTCAGTTACTTTATCTTTTATTATTTGTGCAACATCGCCAATTCCGAGACATGAACGATCACCTACAATACCACTAACTAGAGTTTCAGAAACATTAGTTTCCAGTTCCTGGGCCATCTTTTTTTGTGTGTTTTCACATACATGAATTCCGATATGCTGTTTAAGTCTAGAAATTAAAACCATTATTAAATTTATTTTATATAAATAGAAATATTTACTCCTTTTTAGTTTTATGAGATTTTTCACCGGTATGTCGCCTCATATGACAATTGAATGCGTGCTTAACAGTAAAACTTTGGTTACACTATAGAAAATATATATATTTATTATACTAAATCTTAAATGAAAATAATTGCATTATTAACTTGAGTACAAGCGTACGGTTTTGGACCAAAATGTTCCTTCATATGTTGGTCGCATTTACTCTTAACCAAGAAAGTTTTATTACACTGTAATGTATATATACTTATTATATCCATTTGTGAAAATAAGTTTTATATTTACTTCAGTGCACTTATAAGGTTCTTCTCCCGTATGTTGCCTCATATGAATATTGAGTCCTTCTTTACGAGGAAAACATTCTTGACACTAATAAAATTATATATATTTATTGTATTTCATTTTAAATAAAAATAATGGAACTATATACTTCAGTGCATTTGTATGGCTTTTCACCAGTATGTAGCCTCATGTGAAGATTAAGCGACTTTTGACAGGAATAACGTTTCTCACACTATAAATAGTATATTATAAAAGTTATCAAAAATTTATCACAAATAACAGAAATATTTACTTCAGTGCATGTAAAAGGTTTTTCACCAGTATGTCGTTTCATATGATATTTAAGTGTTTCCTTACGAGCAAAAGATTGTTTACACTGTTCAAAATATATACTCATTACATATAGAATTTATATATGACAATAATTGCAATATTTACTTCAGTGCATGTGTATGGTTTTACACCAGTATGTCCTATCATATGACGGTTGAGATATGTTTTAACAGCAAAACTTAATTTACACTAAAATCAATATTTACTTATGTTATATATTATATAAAAATAAGTGAAAATTATACTTCAGGGCATTTGTAAGGCTTTTCACCAGTATGTAATTTCATATGAATGTTAAGTGAGCTCTTCACAGAAAAAGTTTGATTACACTATACAAATATATATATTCTTATTTAGTCTCGTAAAATAAAAATTAAAGCAATATATTACTTCAGTGCATGAGTAAGGTCTTTCTCCAGTGTGAGAGCGGCGATGCACTGTCAACGCACTCAGTGAAGAAAACTTATTCCCACAAATATCACAATTACAATGTCTGTATTTTTTAAGTCTACGTTTATGTTTTCTGTAGAAATTTCAAAACAAATAATCAAAGTTAATATATTATATATTATATTAAATTTAAAAACTTACTTCGAAACAGAATTATTTTTTAATAACGGCTTTATGGTTGGTTCAGTTACTTTGTCTTTTAATATTTGTGCAACATCGTCAATTCCGAAACATGACCAATTATCTACAATACCACTAACTAGAGTTTCAGAAACATTTGTTTCCGGTTCCGTTTTTATGGTATAATTTTCTAATGTTATAACAGAGTACTCTTCGTTTTCTGTACTTGTTTTAGATACTACATTCTTAATAAATTGTTGAGCAATGATGTCATTTTCAATTGATGTGCGATCATTTGTGATGGAACCATCCAGACATTCAGGAACAGTAACTTTAGGTTTCATATTATACTTCTATATTTTAGAATATCGCAAACTCTTTTATAATAATAATTTTTCTGTATTTGCTTTGACAACTTTATTTAAAATGCACTTTGCATTAAGTGATATGCATTAAGTAATATTAGCCATAAGTCTTTGTCCTTTTTTGATTTTATGGTATCGTGATTAAATAAAAATTTTGCAATACGATGCTTCTCAAATTTGGAAGTTGAAATTGATTGAAAACTTCGGTAATAACTTAATCTCTTAATTAGGTATTCTATTACATATTCAATAATATTAAATACAAGTAACGAAATATATATTAGCTTAATATTTTTACAACGCGATCTACCTAATATTTGTTACTGTTTTATATGTGTCAAAAAAGGTAAATAAAAAACAAACATTTAAAATGTTTCTCTACCCCAGAGTTGCAATATATATCGCACGATAAGTTCACATTTACACGAAAATTATTTTCCAAAGATAACCTCATCGTTGATATAACATTCAAATTGTTTAAAATGCATAATATGCAAAATAATATAATAGTATATAATATAATACAACATAATTAAAGTACGAGTATAAAATCTAAATTAAAGATTAAATAAAACTAAAAGCGGAAATAATAACATTTATAATACATATGAAATATAAAACTAAAATTTTCAATATAAAATATAACAGGAAATCATACAACTTAGAAAATAAAATATACAATATTTGAGATTGCTTATAATGAATACAAATATATGTAAATATGTATATATATATTCTAATGCTCGATACTTGGGTTCTTTTTCTCAACATACTATAAGTACTGATAAGTGCATTCTCAAGTAATGATGAGCTGTAAGCTGTAAGAATTTCATTTTCTTTTAAAATACTATAGTGAACAAAGTAGCCAATAAAATATCTAATCCGCACCCTTTCCACATACTCAAGTCTTCAAATAATACATTGAACTCTTTAAATACGGTTCGAAAGTTTTATTAACATTATCTAGGATGTCTTCTTCAATTACTACTTCTATATCAATTTCGCAGTTACCTGATGAAAAAAAGAGCCGATTTTAGCGAACATTTGAACATTAATGAAGAGAAATCCGTTTTTATAGCGGACAGATCAGCATTTGTTCCACACTAGTATGTGTATTAAGCATTATACTACTAAATATTTTAAACTACCTACGAATTTGCTTTTAACATACATGTAGTCTATTAAACCATGACTCTTGAAAGTTTGCAGAATACATAAAACTTCTTGTGAGTCTCGTCAATTTCATTGTATACAATATAACAACACAGGAGACTGCACTATTTGATATCCTAAACAAATTTGGTGCTATTCATAACAGAAACTAGTTGCATAATACCTAACAACAAGTAGGAGCATTTACTCAAGTACTAAGGTATTGTTGCTGAAAAGTGAACCTGTAATCGTAATTAAACGAACACTATTATATACTTACACAAAAAAAATGTACCTACTTGTTTGGTATAGAATACGTTTTCTAAGATACTCCAAAATAATTCAAGGCACTTCATTGCTAACACATCCTATTAATTAACTTTAAAAGATTTTAGTTTAAATATTAGTACTATTATGCATTATTCACAAAAAAAAAAACGATAGAAAACTCCATTTAAAAAACTTGGATTATACGATAAGAATACTAAGTTACAAACGAACTAAAATAATTTAAAAACACAGCATTTTCCTCACTTCTAGGACGAAGTTTACTTCTTCTAGGTGTGATATATATTTATTAAAAAATTGTTTTGATTATATAACTAAAGAAATAGTTACTATTTTTAGTTACTATTTATTTTTATCAAATTTATAAACTCACAATTTTATTTTATGACTTATGTATATCTTAACATATCTATCCTATATCAATAAATAAATGAAATTCCCATTACTAGTTCGAGTCATCTCGAACAAGTTATAGAACAATTTGTTTACAAGTTGAAATTTGCAATAATTTATTCTCTACTTTACAGAAAAAGTAACCGAAGTAGAAATCACAATAAATTAAAAATCAAGATTAATTATTAAACATAAGACAGCACATGTAGATAACATATATTAAGTTGCTTCTGGTTATTCAAATATTTTCCAAATATTTCCACTTGCGTTTTTTGAATATTGGATCTCATTCATAATTTTATACAATCTACAGGTTCTACATTTACAATACTCATAAGTTTACCTAAATAAATTTGATGTGTAATCACAGTTGCTACAGTTACAGAGTCAGTAAAGGATTTGAACATATAATACGGTTTCAGATTTCAGATTTTAAATAAACTTAATGAATAGTTGCTGCCGCATTTATTTTAACACTTTCATTTTCGGTAATGAAATTAGTAAAAATTTCGTTTTCTAATGACAATTGCTCTTTTCTTGTTTCAAGTACAGTATGACTTCGTGGGTGTTGCAATAATCGAGGTTCTTGCAATAATCGATTTTAATTCATTAATATCTTGTTATTTCAGTTTGCTTTTTATTGCAATTAATATTCATTATAACTACCTTATGTTTTAGACCTTTAAGTATAATAACTTTTGTAAGAGGTAAGGAATTTTCCTCAGCCCATTGTATGCATATGTTAAGTGCATTTATTGCCACGCCATTTTTGATTTTAAGTGTAATTACATGACCTCAGTTTCCGAGTGTGAATCGATGTTAAGTTATTCAGCCAGAGATATAATTTTCATACAAAATTCGTTAACCCACTCATTCATTTCTTGTTGAGATATAACATCTGAAATAATTTCATGATTTCATAATATTCTTATGCACCGAGAATGTGTTCGCAAATTCTTATGGTTGAGTATAGGAGAGCAAATAAATACACAAATAAAATATTAAGAATGCAAAAGAGGAAAATAATTAGAAAAAGTTGCATTCTTCACGGTTGTCAATTTTCAAAGTTGCAATAACAAAGGTAATACAGGAAAAATTCAAGAGGTTCAATAACCGAGGAGTTGCGATATTCGAGGCTTGCATTAATCGAGGTCATACTGTACTTCATTTTTTATAAATTCTTGTTCATCTGTAATATCATCAAGTTTAGGTTCACGAACAGTAAAATTTGGTTCGATTTTTAGATTAATTTTTTCAAGTCTAGAGGTTTCTTCATGTTCTAATAATAATTGGTTTGTACTTGTTTCAATTGCTTCTTCTGTTATACGTTGTTGTTTTGTAACGCAATCTTTAAACGGAATTTGGTCAGGCCTCATTCTTATACTCTCATTTTCTAACATTGTAATAGTATATACTTCGTTTTCTAATAACAATTCCTCTGTACTTATTTCAGGTACTTCATTTTTTATAAATTGCTCAACAACAACTTCATCTTCAATTGATGTTTGATCACCTGTAATATTCGACTCCATCTTTATACTTTTATTTTCTATTGAATTAGGCACTTCATTTTCTGATAATATTTTCTCCGTGATTGCTTCTCTAAGGCTGCTGCTGGGATATTCATCTGAAATTAATATTAAAATGTGCATTATTCACTATAATAATAAATTTTCTTTACATTTTACATAGAGTCATTTAAAAATTATATACTAAATTATTCCATAATGATAATAATAAGAAATATGTTTTGGGGGTACAAATGTCCTTACAAATTATGCAACATTAGTCTTATATAGTATATGAATGAACGTATTTGATTTTAAAATAGTTTTATTTATAGTTAAAAATTATTTAATATTTAATTTAAGATTCTAATCAATAGAAATTTTTTTTTGAGTGTTCATGCGAAATACAGATTTTTACAAATTACAAAAACTTTTTAAAATTTTTAGGACTTTTTTTTTGAAATGTGTAATCTAATAACACCATTACGATCATATACTCTTGCAAGCAACCCACACAAAAAATAAACTATTGTGTTATATGTATATAAAGTCAAAGTAGCAATCTCATTTTTAAATGAACAATTACTGATTTCTTTCATTCACTTCTCAATATACTAAAATATTATATTAAATTTGTTAAAAATATATGGCCTATATCTTACCTATATGAAAACCAACATCAAAATGATTTTTAAGTTCTTCCTCTGTCGCATACATGGCAGTGCACTCCTTGCACTTGAATTTATGTTTCTGGGCCATCTTTTTTTGCGTGTTTTCACATGCATGAATTCCGATATGCTGTTTAAGTCTAGAAATTAAAACTATTATTAAATTTAATCTATATAAATAGAAATATTTACTCTTTATTAGTTTTATGAGATTTTTCACCGGTATGTCGTCTCATATGACAATTGAATGCGTGCTTAACAGTAAAACTTTGGTTACACTATAGAAAATATATATATTTATTATACTAAATCTTAAATGAAAATAATTGCATTATTAACTTGAGTACAAGCGTACGGCTTTGAAATAAAATGTTCCCTCATATGTTGTTCGCGTTTGCTCTTAACCAAGAAAGTTTTATTACACTAGAAAGTATTTATACTTATTATATCCACATTTATGAAAATAATTTTTATATTTACGTCAGTGCTCTTATGCTGCCTCATATGAATATCGAGTGAATCTTTACGAGGAAAACTTCGATCACACTATGAAGAATATACACGTTTTATATTTAATCTCAATAGAAAATAATCGCAAAACTTACTTCAGTGCATGAGTGGAGTTTCTTACCAGTATGTTTAGCCATATGACGATTAAGCGAGCTCGTAGTAGAAAAATTTCGACTACACTATAAGAAATGAATACTTATATTTATTTTTAAACAAAAATAATTCAAATATTTACTTCCTTGCATGAGTAAGGTTTCTCTCCAGTATGTCGTCTCATGTGAACATCCAATGCCCCCTTACGAGTGAAACCTTGTTTACACTATTGAAAATATATAATTAGTATTATATGTTATTTCGACAAAAAAAAATAATTGAAATCAAAGTATATACTTCAGTGCATGTGTAAGGTTTCTCACCGGTGTGTCGCATTATATGACAATTGAATGCGTGCTTAAAAGTAAAACTTTGGTTACACTATAGAAAATATATATATTTATTATATTAAATCTTAAATAAAAATAATTGCATTATTAACTTGAGTACAAGCGTACGGTTTTGGACCAAAATGTTCCCTCATATGTTGGTCGCGTTTGCTCTTAACCAAGAAAGTTTTATTACACTGTAATGTATATATACTTATTATATTCATATGTGAAAATAAGTTTTATATTTACTTCAGTGCACTTATAAGGTTCTTCTCCCGTATGTTGCCTCATATGAATATTGAGTCCTTCTTTACGAAGAAAACATTCTTGACACTAATAAAATTATATATATTTATTGTATTTCATTTTAAATTAAAATAATGGAACTATATACTTCAGTGCATTTGTATGGCTTTTCACCAGTATGTAGCCTCATGTGAAGATTAAGCGACTTTTGACAGGAATAACGTTTCTCACACTATAAATAGTATATTATAAATGATATCAAAAATTTATTACAATTAACAGAAATATTTACTTCAGTGCATGTAAAAGGTTTTTCACCAGTATGTCGTCTCATATGTCGTTTAAGTGTTTCATTACGAGTAAAAGATTTTTTACACTGTTAAAAATATATACTCATTACATATAGAATTTATATATGACAATAATTGCAATATTTACTTCAGTGCATGCGTAAGGTTTTACACCAGTATGTCGTCTCATATGACGATAGAGATATGTTTTAACAGCAAAACTTTTTTTACACTAAAATCAATATTTACTTATGTTATATATTATATAAAAATAATTGAAAAGCATACTTGAGGGCATGTGTAAGGCTTTTCACCTGAATGTAACTTCATATGAATGTTAAGTGCGCTCTTATCAGAAAAAGTTTGATTACACTATACAAATATATATATTCTTATTTAGTCTCGTAAAATAAAAATTAAAGCAATATATTACTTCAGTGCATGAGTAAGGTCTTTCTCCAGTGTGAGAGCGGCGATGAATTTTCAAATAATATAGTGACGAACATTTCTTCCCACAAATATCACAATTACAATGTCTGTCTTTTTTAAGTGTACGTTTATGTTTTCTGCAGAAATTTCAAAACAAATAATCAAAGTTAATATTTTATATATTATATTAAATTTAAATACCTACTTCGAAACAGAATTATTTTTTAATAACGGCTTTGTGGTTGGTTCAGTTACTTTATCTTTTATTATTTGTGCAACATCGCCAATTCCGAGACATGAACGATCACCTACAATACCACTAACTAGAGTTTCAGAAACATTAGTTTCCAGTTCCTGGGCCATCTTTTTTTGTGTGTTTTCACATACATGAATTCCGATATGCTGTTTAAGTCTAGAAATTAAAACCATTATTAAATTTATTCTATATAAATAGAAATATTTACTCCTTTTTAGTTTTATGAGATTTTTCACCGGTATGTCGTCTCATATGACAATTGAATGCGTGCTTAACAGTAAAACTTTGGTTACACTATAGAAAATATATATATTTATTATACTAAATCTTAAATGAAAATAATTGCATTATTAACTTGAGTACAAGCGTACGGCTTTGAAATAAAATGTTCCCTCATATGTTGTTCGCGTTTGCTCTTAACCAAGAAAGTTTTATTACACTATAAATTATTTATACTTATTATATCCACATTTGTGAAAATAATTTTTATATTTACGTCAGTGCTCTTATAAGGTTCTTCTTCTGTATGCTGCCTCATATGAATATCGAGTGCTTCTTTACTAGGAAAATATTCTTGACACTAATAAAATTATATATATTTATTGTATTTAATTTTAAATAAAAATAATGGAACTGTATACTTCAGTGCATTTGTATGGCTTTTCACCAGTATGACACCTCATATGAATATCGAGAGAATCTTTACGAGGAAAACTTCGATCACACTATGGAAAACATACACGTTTTATATTTAATTTCAATAGAAAATAATCGCAAAACTTACTTCAGTGCATGAGTGGAGTTTCTTACCAGTATGTTTAGCCATATGACGATTAAGCGAGCTCGTAGTAGAAAAATTTCGACTACACTATAAGAAATGAATACTTATATTTATTTTTAAACAAAAATAATTCAAATATTTACTTCCTTGCATGAGTAAGGTTTCTCTCCAGTATGTCGTCTCATATGAACATTCAATGCCCCCTTAAGAATAAAACCTTGTTTACACTATTGAAAATATATAATTAGTATTATATGTTATTTCGAAAAAAAAAATAATTGAAATCAAAGTATATACTTCAGTGCATGTGTAAGGTTTCTCACCGGTATGTCGCATTATATGACAATTGAATGCATGCTTAAAAGTAAAACTTTGGTTACACTATAGAAAATATATATATTTATTATATTAAATCTTAAATAAAAATAATTGCATTATTAACTTGAGTACAAGCGTACGGTTTTGGACCAAAATGTTCCTTCATATGTTGGTCGCATTTACTCTTAACCAAGAAAGTTTTATTACACTGTAATGTATATATACTTATTATATCCATTTGTGAAAATAAGTTTTATATTTACTTCAGTGCACTTATAAGGTTCTTCTCCCGTATGTTGCCTCATATGAATATTGAGTCCTTCTTTACGAGGAAAACATTCTTGACACTAATAAAATTATATATATTTATTGTATTTCATTTTAAATAAAAATAATGGAACTATATACTTCAGTGCATTTGTATGGCTTTTCACCAGTATGTAGCCTCATGTGAAGATTAAGCGACTTTTGACAGGAATAACGTTTCTCACACTATAAATAGTATATTATAAAAGTTATCAAAAATTTATCACAAATAACAGAAATATTTACTTCAGTGCATGTAAAAGGTTTTTCACCAGTATGTCGTTTCATATGATATTTAAGTGTTTCCTTACGAGCAAAAGATTGTTTACACTGTTCAAAATATATACTCATTACATATAGAATTTATATATGACAATAATTGCAATATTTACTTCAGTGCATGTGTATGGTTTTACACCAGTATGTCCTATCATATGACGGTTGAGATATGTTTTAACAGCAAAACTTAATTTACACTAAAATCAATATTTACTTATGTTATATATTATATAAAAATAAGTGAAAATTATACTTCAGGGCATTTGTAAGGCTTTTCACCAGTATGTAATTTCATATGAATGTTAAGTGAGCTCTTCACAGAAAAAGTTTGATTACACTATACAAATATATATATTCTTATTTAGTCTCGTAAAATAAAAATTAAAGCAATATATTACTTCAGTGCATGAGTAAGGTCTTTCTCCAGTGTGAGAGCGGCGATGCACTGTCAACGCACTCAGTGAAGAAAACTTATTCCCACAAATATCACAATTACAATGTCTGTATTTTTTAAGTCTACGTTTATGTTTTCTGTAGAAATTTCAAAACAAATAATCAAAGTTAATATATTATATATTATATTAAATTTAAAAACTTACTTCGAAACAGAATTATTTTTTAATAACGGCTTTATGGTTGGTTCAGTTACTTTGTCTTTTAATATTTGTGCAACATCGTCAATTCCGAAACATGACCAATTATCTACAATACCACTAACTAGAGTTTCAGAAACATTTGTTTCCGGTTCCGTTTTTATGGTATAATTTTCTAATGTTATAACAGAGTACTCTTCGTTTTCTGTACTTGTTTTAGATACTACATTCTTAATAAATTGTTGAGCAATGATGTCATTTTCAATTGATGTGCGATCATTTGTGATGGAACCATCCAGACATTCAGGAACAGTAACTTTAGGTTTCATATTATACTTCTATATTTTAGAATATCGCAAACTCTTTTATAATAATAATTTTTCTGTATTTGCTTTGACAACTTTATTTAAAATGCACTTTGCATTAAGTGATATGCATTAAGTAATATTAGCCATAAGTCTTTGTCCTTTTTTGATTTTATGGTATCGTGATTAAATAAAAATTTTGCAATACGATGCTTCTCAAATTTGGAAGTTGAAATTGATTGAAAACTTCGGTAATAACTTAATCTCTTAATTAGGTATTCTATTACATATTCAATAATATTAAATACAAGTAACGAAATATATATTAGCTTAATATTTTTACAACGCGATCTACCTAATATTTGTTACTGTTTTATATGTGTCAAAAAAGGTAAATAAAAAACAAACATTTAAAATGTTTCTCTACCCCAGAGTTGCAATATATATCGCACGATAAGTTCACATTTACACGAAAGTTATTTTCTAAAGATTACCTCATCGTTGATTTAACATTCAAATTGTTTAAAATGCATAATATGCAAAATAATATAATAGTATATAATATAATACAACATAATTAAATTACGAGTATAAAATCTAAATTAAAGATTAAATAAAACTAAAAGCGGAAATAATAACATTTATAATACATATTATATATAAAACTAAAATTTTCAATATAAAATATAACAGGAAATCATACAACTTAGAAAATAAAATATACAATATTTGAGATTGCTTATAATGAATACAAATATATGTAAATATGTATATATATATTCTAATGCTCGATACTTGGGTTCTTTTTCTCAACATACTATAAGTACTGATAAGTGCATTCTCAAGTAATGATGAGCTGTAAGCTGTAAGAATTTCATTTTCTTTTAAAATACTATAGTGAACAAAGTAGCCAATAAAATATCTAATCCGCACCCTTTCCACATACTCAAGTCTTCAAATAATACATTGAACTCTTTAAATACGGTTCGAAAGTTTTATTAACATTATCTAGGATGTCTTCTTCAATTACTACTTCTATATCAATTTCGCAGTTACCTGATGAAAAAAAGAGCCGATTTTAGCGAACATTTGAACATTAATGAAGAGAAATCCGTTTTTATAGCGGACAGATCAGCATTTGTTCCACACTAGTATGTGTATTAAGCATTATACTACTAAATATTTTAAACTACCTACGAATTTGCTTTTAACATACATGTAGTCTATTAAACCATGACTCTTGAAAGTTTGCAGAATACATAAAACTTCTTGTGAGTCTCGTCAATTTCATTGTATACAATATAACAACACAGGAGACTGCACTATTTGATATCCTAAACAAATTTGGTGCTATTCATAACAGAAACTAGTTGCATAATACCTAACAACAAGTAGGAGCATTTACTCAAGTACTAAGGTATTGTTGCTGAAAAGTGAACCTGTAATCGTAATTAAACGAACACTATTATATACTTACACAAAAAAAATGTACCTACTTGTTTGGTATAGAATACGTTTTCTAAGATACTCCAAAATAATTCAAGGCACTTCATTGCTAACACATCCTATTAATTAACTTTAAAAGATTTTAGTTTAAATATTAGTACTATTATGCATTATTCACAAAAAAAAAAACGATAGAAAACTCCATTTAAAAAACTTGGATTATACGATAAGAATACTAAGTTACAAACGAACTAAAATAATTTAAAAACACAGCATTTTCCTCACTTCTAGGACGAAGTTTACTTCTTCTAGGTGTGATATATATTTATTAAAAAATTGTTTTGATTATATAACTAAAGAAATAGTTACTATTTTTAGTTACTATTTATTTTTATCAAATTTATAAACTCACAATTTTATTTTATGACTTATGTATATCTTAACATATCTATCCTATATCAATAAATAAATGAAATTCCCATTACTAGTTCGAGTCATCTCGAACAAGTTATAGAACAATTTGTTTACAAGTTGAAATTTGCAATAATTTATTCTCTACTTTACAGAAAAAGTAACCGAAGTAGAAATCACAATAAATTAAAAATCAAGATTAATTATTAAACATAAGACAGCACATGTAGATAACATATATTAAGTTGCTTCTGGTTATTCAAATATTTTCCAAATATTTCCACTTGCGTTTTTTGAATATTGGATCTCATTCATAATTTTATACAATCTACAGGTTCTACATTTACAATACTCATAAGTTTACCTAAATAAATTTGATGTGTAATCACAGTTGCTACAGCTACAGAGTCAGTAAAGGATTTGAACATATAATACGGTTTCAGATTTCAGATTTTAAATAAACTTAATGAATAGTTGTTGCCGCATTTATTTTAACACTTTCATTTTCGGTAATGAAATTAGTAAAAATTTCGTTTTCTAATGACAATTGCTCTTTTCTTGTTTCAAGTACAGTATGACTTCGTGGGTGTTGCAATAATCGAGGTTCTTGCAATAATCGATTTTAATTCATTAATATCTTGTTATTTCAGTTTGCTTTTTATTGCAATTAATATTCATTATAACTACCTTATGTTTTAGACCTTTAAGTATAATAACTTTTGTAAGAGGTAAGGAATTTTACTCAGCCCATTGTATGCATATGTTAAGTGCATTTATTGCCACGCCATTTTTGATTTTAAGTGTAATTACATGACCTCAGTTTTCGAGTCTGAATCGATGTTAAGTTATTCAGCCAGAGATATAATTTTCATACAAAATTCGTTAACCCACTCATTCATTTCTTGTTGAGATATAACATCTGAAATAATTTCATGATTTCATAATATTCTTATGCACCGAGAATGTGTTCGCAAATTCTTATGGTTGAGTATAGGAGAGCAAATAAATACACAAATAAAATATTAAGAATGCAAAAGAGGAAAATAATTAGAAAAAGTTGCATTCTTCACGGTTGTCAATTTTCAAAGTTGCAATAACAAAGGTAATACAGGAAAAATTCAAGAGGTTCAATAACCGAGGAGTTGCGATATTCGAGGCTTGCATTAATCGAGGTCATACTGTACTTCATTTTTTATAAATTCTTGTTCATCTGTAATATCATCAAGTTTAGGTTCACGAACAGTAAAATTTGGTTCGATTTTTAGATTAATTTTTTCAAGTCTAGAGGTTTCTTCATGTTCTAATAATAATTGGTTTGTACTTGTTTCAATTGCTTCTTCTGTTATACGTTGTTGTTTTGTAACGCAATCTTTAAACGGAATTTGGTCAGGCCTCATTCTTATACTCTCATTTTCTAACATTGTAATAGTATATACTTCGTTTTCTAATAACAATTGCTCTGTACTTATTTCAGGTACTTCATTTTTTATAAATTGCTCAACAACAACTTCATCTTCAATTGATGTTTGATCATCTGTAATATTCGACTCCATCTTTATACTTTTATTTTCTATTGAATTGGGCACTTCTTTTTCTGATAACATTTTCTCCGTGATTGCTTCTTTAAGGCTGCTGCTGGGATATTCATCTGAAATTAATATTAAAATGTGCATTTTTCACTATAATAATAAATTTTCTTTATATTTTACATAGAATCATTTAAAAATTATATACTAAATTATTCCATAATGATAATAATAAGAAAAATGTTTTGAGGTACAAATGTCCTTACAAATTATGCAACATTAGTCTTATATACTATATGAATGAACGTATTTGATTTCAAAATAGTTTTATTTATAGTTAAAATTTATTTAATATTCAATTTAAGATTCTAATCAATAGAACATTTTTTTGAGTTTTCATGCTAAATGCAGTTTCAATATAAATATTTTACAAATTTTTAGTAATATTCTTTTGAAATTTGTTATCTAATAACAGCATTACGATGGCTGTCAGCCGTCAGATACACAGGGGGATAAACACGTACTTTGTGTATGTGCCGTAACTGCTGTATACTGTCGGTAGTGTGATTACATCCTCTACGCGGGGGCGGCTAGAAACAGGCTCATAGTATGGTCATGTCTCTGCT